TAAGACAACGGATGTATGAAATGCTATACATATATTTATCCGTATATTTTTATTAAATTAATGCATATATGCATTTATAAATATATAGGATATTAATAAAATTATCACACATCCGTTATCTCAATAAAAACATTAATTCGTCACTCACCAACCGACGCGCAACAGCGGAGTTCTGCAACGTTGCTACGATGATTCTGTAACAAAAATATATAAAATTCAAATTATAAACCAGAAAGAACACAAACAATATTTTTTAAAAACGCAAAGTTCTCTTAAAATAATCATATAATTTTCAAAATATAATTTTTATAAAAATCAAATCTTTTAATTCATCATTGAGTTAGATATTCATAAAACAATTATACATTTTTTAAAACAGATCTTAAAAATTCGTATATACGAAATTTCAAAATAATTTTAAAATAATCCCTTTTCTCTCTAATTATGATTTTTAAATTATTTTAAAATAAAACAACTCAAGAAGAAATAAAAGAAAGATATTGATTTTACATAAGCAAAAAATATTTACCCCAAGGTTGCTCCGCCGATGCCCGATGTCTCTCCCAGATCTCCTCCTCCTCTCAGAATCGGGTTGACATCCTCTCGCACAGGACACTCGCGTAAGACACTCGCGAATAATACACTACATAAACGCCCGCGGACTATTCATTTATAAAAGTCTTTCGCGCGACACTGCGGCACTCCACGTTTACAAAACCCATGACAGGATTGCTATTTCAATCGATGGAATCAACACCACACGTCGACGAGTACTTGCAAAACACACGATAAATGCTGAACAAGGGTTAAGTCCCACACAAAAGAAGACAAAATCGATCGTATCGAGTCCGTCACCTCTGGTTTACGCCTACATCACGTTTAACATTGACTCAATCATACGCCCTAACTGCTAGTTCTAGTGGGACACAAGTGGTGCTGTACCACGAGCGATTCCAAGAGACTGGTAGACGTGACAAGCGTCTCTAATAAGAAAAAAGTTGGTACCATTGCCGATTGTCTAACAATCTAGACAATTCAAGAAATGGATTCCAACCCCTCGTCACGAGCTAGTCCTTTAAAAGACTACTAGAGCTAGGCTCTGACCAAGTCATATTAAACGCGAGAATCATTCAGATGCTGATAGATAAACGCAGAGAAATGAGTGCCCTGACTAGAGTTATACAACTCTTTTTTGGACGACCCACCAGGGCGGAATTCTGTAATTCGTTATGCAATCGATATGTGCTCATAACAACTGCATAACCGGAGTTATAGAATACAAGCCCAGAGACGAATCCGAGCCAATCGATTGCTTCTTACCGCTAAGGGCCGAACCGTTTGCCGGCAGACAGAGCGTGTCCTCAATTAGCCGACAGCAACAGTAGTTGCTAAACCGCGCGAACACGCACCACGAAGCGCGTGACATTACGCGGCCGGCATCACCTCGTGCCCGGAGCACTTGGCGTGAGAGCATTGCAGTGACCGTGACCACTTAAGCAACGTCCCAAAGAGAGTTCCACTTTCCTGTCGAAACATCGAAGATATGATTTCATCGTCAAACTAGAATGCCTTTCGCATGAGTTTTGTTAAAAGTCCATTAGTCCGATAACTTTAACGACACTCCCGAAATAAACGCGCGACGCGACGAACCGGCTGCGGTTCGTTCACTTTTAATTAAATCGGCGGACGAGGGTACGTTAGCTTCCCCATCGGATTTTTACACGAAGACAACGATTTTATTCAATATCTAAAAATTTATCTAAATATATCATTTAGATAAATCTGAAAATTTTTAGATATTTAAGAAAAACCATTCTTTTTGTGTAAATATTCTTTGGGTACTGAGCCCTCTCACCACGTCAAGGTGTACCCGTGAGAGGGAAAATATCATCTGAAAAATGTAATATACAGCTATTATCTATATTACCATGCAATTATCGGTTGAAACTTTTAAAAATGAATATCAAACACACGTCACCATTGCGAAATAAATTCAGAGTTTATAAAAGGAATCTCTTATTACGATGTTTGTAAGATATAATTAGAGTCAATGGAATGTGCTAGAGATTAATAAAAGAGAGATTAATAAAAAAGAGGAATATTTCTTTTACTACAGACAAACAGCTTGAAAATTATATTCAATTTTTTATCATATCACAAAAAATGCAATTCATAAAACGCAAAATTAATTAAATTGAATTAATTATGCAAATTATATTAATTGTTAAAATAGGAATCGCATAAATTATGTTATTTGCATGAAGTTATTAATGTAATTTTTTTATGACTCGTGACCGTACCGTTCGAAGAATAATCGAGAATTATACTCAAGCTAGACAAAAATGTTACATTTAACAAAAATAATTATCATCCGTAATTATTGCGAAATAGTATTAAATTCTGTTTTTCATCTCGATTCTTTTATGAATATTAATCATGCGAGCTAGTCTGTGAGTATTCATAAAGTATAATGTTTCATATTATCTAGCATTTGTCGCGATTACGTTTGAAAAAGAAATGTGAAAAAGAATAGCACGCGACATGTCTATCTGCCTGTACGAGTTTTGGTAATGGAATGATAACTGCGAATGATAACTTCGCATCAACTTTGTGACGCGCCACCCGCCCTTCCGTGCCAAAACAATTCCCAAGGTTGTCGATCGTCTAACTGTCGAAATATTAATGCATATTACAAAATCAGAAAAATAATCTAGTCGTTATATTTAAGATTTCTTCGATGAATAGGCTTTATTGCACGATCTTTGTTTTATTTCTTGGATTCGTTACGCACACAACTCATCTATATCTTAGATATTTAAAATTGTGTTACAATAAGCGATTAGTTTGTAATAACTTTTTGTTATACGAAATCCGCGCAGTATACGCAATATTTTTAACAAGAGACGTATTTTAGCTTTTTCTCGTAATCCGATAATTCAATAAATCTAAATTTATCGTATGCTTTTGATCCAAAAATAGAGGGTGATAAATGATGCAAAGCCATCGACGTGCTATCACTCACGACCATTAAAGAGTACCGGTCTAAACGTGATAATTTCTAAATTATCATATATTTCGACGCCTATTTTGAGCATGAGATAGTATAATTATATACGAACGATAGTCGCATATTCACAAGTCGCAAATTATGAGCACTGATCAATTCGCGTTCGTAGATATTTAATTTTCGTGGATTAATGCGATACGCGGAGCGTTTCGTACGTGTTTCTCGCTTCGAGATCGCCAAGCGAATGCCAAAGTGATGACGTATAGTCAACCACACCGAGTGGCATGCTCCCCCACCCCCCCTCGTCATTTAGATATATCTTACTATTGTGTGTATGAAAAATATTCACGGTTTATTCATTTATTCATATTTTATATGATTTTTAAAACGAGTCTCGTCGTACATTTCGCGCTTTATGGCATCTCTGGCACTTAATCTTATATTATTTGCAGTTCTTTTTATAAACGTAATTATTTGCGTGTGTGAAAGATATTTTTGATATTCTAATATTCTATATTATATCTCAATTTTCATTATACTTTTAAAATATTTTAAATGATTCATGGAATAACTGCGTACGATAACTTCGCATAAACGTGACATCCGCCCTTCCGCATCAAAATAATCCCCAAGGTTACGCGCCGATCATTTAACTGTCGAAATATTAACGCACATTATAAAATCAGTAAAATAATCCAGTCGTTTTATTTTTAATATTTTTCGATGTATAGACTTTATTACACGATCTTTGTTTTATTTCTTGGATTCGTTACGCACACAACTCCTCTATATCTTAGATATTTAAAATTGTGTTACAATAAGCGATTAGTTTCTAATAATTTTTTGTTATACGAAATTTTTTTAACGCGCAGTATACGCAATATTTTTAACAAGAGACGTATTTTAGCTTTTTCTCGTAATCCGGTAATTCAATAAATCTAAATTTATGCATGATGCTTTTAATTTAAAAATAGAGAGTGACATGCAGAGCTATCAACGTGCTATCACTCACGACCATTAAAGAGTACCGATCTAAACGTGACTATTTGTAATTTCTAAATTATTATATATTTCGACACCTCTTTAGAGCGTGTGATAGTATAACTATGTATCTTCGACGAAATTGCTCAACGAAATTGTTCACGGGTTGTAGATTATGAGCATTGATCAATTCGCGTTCGTAGATATTTAATTTTCGCGGATTAATTCGACACGCGGAGCGTTTCGTACAACGTGTATTTCGCTCCGAGGTCGTCGAACGAATGCCGAAGTGATGACGTATAATCAATCACCACGCCGAGCGGCACGTTCTCCCACCCCTCGCCATTTAGATATCTTACTATTGTGTATGAAAAATATTCATGATTTATTTATTTATTCATATTTTACATGATTTTTACAAACAGATATCGTCGTATATTTCGCGCTTTGCTTTGTTGCACATCTGGCACTGATTTAATCCTATATTACTTGCGCCGTTCTTTTTATAAATGTAATTGATAATTATTCATGTGTGTGGTATTTTTGATATTCTAACGGTACATTATCTCAATTTTCATTATACTTTTAAATGATTTATACTTAAACAAAGATTGATAATATTCTATACATCCTTTATAAAGATATATTTTCTCAAATTTTCTTAATATGTATTGCGAAACAATTTGCGCTCAGTATAGCTTTGGTTAAAAATATTAAATATCTTGTTAATCATTATTTAATTTTTCAGCTAAAAAATTAATTTAGGACACTACTATTGCTGCAAATTATTTTGTGTATCAAAAATTTTTTAAATTTAATTTAAAGAGCCCTTGGTAGGAACTAAGGCCATTCATACTACACCATGTAATGAATTTTTGCACTCATTTTATTTCTAAGAAACAAAAACGAATTTATCTCCAAAATCGATTTCTTTCATCTGCATAAAATTATTCTATTTGATATTTCTTGTGAATTCTATATTTGATTGAATTTGTTTAAAAAAAGAAAACAAATGGATGATAAGCACGTCACTTCGACGGAAATAGTGCCTATTTTGAACGATACATCTCAAGATTCGAAATCTCTAAATTACAAAATTCACAAATGTCACTCGGAGAAACGCGATGACACGCGGAATGAAGAAAGTATACAAGACGTTCGCGAAAATGTACCCACGATTTATATTGAGTCGTCGGACGAGGATGACGTATCCGAGAGATTTTCGGATGATGTTAAACGAACGGAGACCCAAATTCTTCCATTCACGACAGATCTAGAATCATCCGTCGACTATGGAAGAGAATTCGCGTATTGTATTCTCGCTGTGAATTATAATTTTTGAAGGAGAAATATTTTGAAGACAATCTATTTTCTCTTTTTTAACGAAAATTACAGAGACAGTTTTACTTACTATATGTATATATATATATATA